TTCCGTATATGACGCATTAATTATTAATAAATAATTAATTAAGAAGATTATTGTGTTAAAATTTACATGAGAAACTTGTTTGAGGTTACATCTGCAAGATGCAAGCTTAAAAGTGTAGAAATTTTTCGTAGAAAATTAATAATTAATTAATTTTCGATAGAACGTTTTTTTTATTGTTGCCTTCATATTGAAAATTGATTAATTACTAGTTTTTTACGAAAATTTCCTGCATTTTTAGAATCACATCTTGAAGCCATAACTTCAAACAAGATTCTTTTATAAAATTCAATATGAAATTCTTGTTAATTAATTGTTTATTAACGATTAACTTACAGAGTATCCGAGTCGCAAATATCCATACCGTGCTCGAGTAATAAACAATTAATTTTTTTATCGAAACGATAATAAAATTATGAATATAAATTATATGTGAAAGTAGGGTAGGATATAACGTTTCAAAAGCATGCATTAATGTTTATAAATTAATTGCGTAATAATGAAAAATTAATGAAAAATATATCGTGCGTCGGTGCGTCCTTCCGTATATGACGCATTAATTATTAATAAATAATTAATTAAGAAGATTATTGTGTTAAAATTTACATGAGAAACTTGTTTGAGGTTACATCTGCAAGATGCAAGCTTAAAAGTGTAGAAATTTTTCGTAGAAAATTAATAATTAATTAATTTTCAATATTGCGTCTTTAGTATCAGGAGACGTATAACCTATAAAAGTGGCACATCTTCTCTGTCCTTCTCGCACAGTATAGCTATCCTTTGGCGTGACGTCACGAATACCTCCACGTATGTTATGTATTCCTACTAACAAGTCCGAGCTTCCAGCGTCCATCCGCGAGATGGCGCCACCGATACCTTTCAGGCTTAATTTTTTTTTTTCCGTTTAATTTATAGGAAATATACGCTTCGTATTTTTATGTGCTATATATTTTATATATATTTTTATGTTTTTATATGTTATACATATATTTTACATATATTTTTTAATTATTTTATATTCTATATGTATTTTATATATTTTATATAATTTATATTTAAATTTTTATAAATTTAAATTGTCAAATTCGTATCCTATATATGTATATTGTTATATAGCAAGTCAAAGACGTATGAAACAAATAAATATTATTAATTAAATTATAGAAATTTTTCACATTCATTTTCTTTCAAATTATATTCAATTACGTGAATTTGCATTAAATTGAGAATATTGCAGCAGTTCATAAGTTGTTACAATATTCACATATTCTTAGCAATTATAATTCTTTATGAAACTTTTATTTAATAATTTCATTCAATAATTTTTAATCATTTAATAAAAAGTTGACAACCTTGAATTAAAAATTAATTGTATAAAAAAATATATTCAAAGAAATCTTGTAATTTGAAATTTTGATATTCTTAAAAAAATATATATTAACTGTCTAAAATAATATTACATTTTTCAATCTCGTGACGATGTCGACATAGCAACATATTAGAAAAACAAGCATCCTTACGTATTACGTATTTAAATTATGCGCGTTGAAATGAAACAAAGAATATTTCTCTCTTCATTGTTGTTTCACAAAGAAGTCCTCCAGTATGAAAAAATGAGCAACATGACAAAAACACCCTATCCGAGAAGTATAATCACCGCGGATCTAATAGTCCTCGGTGCAACTAGGACAAGAAGAATAATTTAATAGCTGAGCTCGTAAATCTACTTTGTGAAATCTCACGAAATTGTGCGGTTTTACAAAACGGTGATGGGAGATATTCGTATAAAAGACGTTGACACTTTTGTAGACTTGCTATACGCGAGTTGATTATGCGGGCATTAAAATGGGTACGTAACATTTTAACATGTGTTTAATGAACTTTTTTTTTTCCGTATTTATTATAATCAATAATTGTGCCATGCATACAGTTGAAGATATTGCTGTTAATCGACTATACCGCCGGACAAAATCTGAGGACAGTCCGGCAAGCCGGATATACTTACAATATACCAAGAATACCATTTACTTTACCAAGTCCTAGTCCACCGGCACTACCAAGTTATCCTGCACCAGTTCCTGTACCATCAAGTTATTCTTATCCTGTACCCCCTCCTCGACCTCCACCTTCACCGCCATCTCCACCCCGTCCATTGCCTCCACTACCTTACGTACCACCATCACCACCAGCACCACCACCACAACCACCATCACCACCAATACCACCACCACCTCCACCACCACCACTACCACCTCCACCACCATCACCACCTCCACCGCCATCACCACCTCCACCACCATCACCACCACCACCACCAGTGCCTCCTGGAAGACGTACTTATTTACCACCACCACCACCACCGCCTCCAATACCTCCACCAACACCGCCACCGCCACCACCGCCACCACCACCACCGCCACCACCACCGCCACCACCACCGCCACCACCGCCACCACCACCACCACCGCCACCGCCACCGCCACCGCCACTTCCAAAACCTAATTATTTACCACCAATACCGTCACCGCCATTCCCACCACCACGACCACCACCAATACCACCATTACCAATTCCACCACCATCACCACCACTACCACCTCCGCCACCTCGGCCACCACCATCACCTCCACCTATTCCACCTCCTCCGCCACCACCACCATCTCCGCCTCCTCCTCCTCCACCACCTCCTCCGCCTCCTCCTCCTCCACCTCCGCCGCCTCCTCCGCCACCGCCTCCCTCTCCCCCACCCATACCAATTTACGTGCCTTCGACAACTTCATCTCCACCGATACGAGTTTCTACACCAGCGCCAACTTATCTACCACCATACGATCAGGAAATCCAAGTTTCTCAAGCTCCCGCTTCTTATGCATCAAGCATGGCATCGGCGATATCGTCCACCAATGCGGTGACCATAATTGGACCAGATGGATATAATCCTGTAACAACAACATCTGCACCATCTTATATGGCATATGCAAGTTCGTACGGTTATTCAACACCAAGTCCTATTGCTGGTTACAGTTATCCAACCCCTGCACCTGCTCCGGCTCCTGCACCTAGTTATCTTGCTCCGGTTCCTATACCTAGTTATCCTGCTCCAGCTCCTGCACCTAGTTATCCTGCTCCGGTTCCTCCACCTACTTATCCCTCACCATCTCCTCCTGTTACTGTTGGTTATAATTATCCTGCCCCAGCACCCTCACCTAGTTATCCTACACCCACTTATCCAACACCTACGACTCCTGCATATGATTATTCTCCAATAGTTAGACCTACTTATCCTAGTTATCCAGCTCCAGCTCCAGCTCCAGCTCCAGCTCCAGCTCCAGCTCCAAGACCAATATATTCTTCACGACCTGGACCACGTTATCTACCTCCAATTGCTTAGATTAATTATTTTACACCGGAAATTATTTATCATTATCCAGTTGTTCAATTCAACTGATCTGTTTGAACTCTACAATCAATCTTTTTTTTTGTCAGATAATTTTATCGTTATAGTTTATATTTAAAGTTTTATTATCAAATTATGTCAAACTATATTAAATAATAATTGCACACTATTTCTTTTCTGTTTATCCTGGAGCTGATTTGAATTAGATTTAATTTTTATGTAGCATCTGTGATGAAATTGTGGATATTGTAAACCGTGTATATTTTTAAAATTATAATGTAGCATTTATATGATGTTTATATGTAATTGTGAGACATTTAATTTTGTTTATATCAATGTAATATCTAATGTAATAAGTATTTACGTAAGTTTAGTTGGATGTAATATATTTAATAAATTTTTTGTGTGCAATTTTATATATTGAATTTTGTATGGTAAAGTTAAGTTTAAATTTCTTGTAAGATATAATTTTTCTCTATTTATATTTAAAATTGTAATTATGCGATAATTTTAAATTGAAGTTATATTTTCCTTCATTAATGTGAATGAATATGAATGAATATTAACATTAATATTTAAAAATATTTTTCTGTTAATACGCATTATGTGAAAGTAAAAATAAAAATTATATAATATTTTCTTTCTAATAATTAAAAGGAAAAATATTTTTAAATATTACTATGTTTAAAAAATGCATAAAAATAAATATTAGTGAAGAGATTATGAAACAATTAAAGCAGATTAACCACGTATATACATTTATTAACAAAACCAAATTTATTTTTTAAATACAGTTTGTACGATATCAGCTAATGCGACTATAATGAATATCACAGCATTTTTCAGGTAGACATTCTATATGTCAGTCTCAGTAGCTTAAAATTATTAACTAACTAAACACTACGCTTACAACATATTTGAGTAAATGATGAGTACTCATCCCAGTTAATAAATCTCCATTTGAACTGGTATGTAGCTCGTATTAAACAAGCATATGTTTCCAAACCAAAACATAAGTTAATTCCGGGCTACATTTAATAGAACAGCCATAATCCAACATGTTAGCGTGTTATATCTAACAGGATATGACTATGTACAATTATCTTTTATAATTATTTTTTTTAATTATTATTTTAATTATCCCGATCTACGATACAATAAATGAAAGTACATTAAAACAAACCAGTCCTTCTTATTAATGAAAACCGAATATAATTTCGCTAATTACTTATTATACTTATGACATTGACACGAATAATATCGAATTATGCACGAGTTTTCACATTTTTAATTTTATATTATAATATTGCAAATAAACGAAACATTTGATTATTTAAATAATTGATATAAATTTAGCGTAATGGAAACACAATGTTTACAAGTCATGAATTTTTCAAAAAAGACTCATAGATGGGAAATTATAATCTCGATAGTTTGAAACGAAAGTTAATAAAAATAGTCAATATCACAATTATCGTCTTAAAGAAATTATTTAATTAACATAAATCTAATCTCGATTCACGCGAGTATAACGAATATACAAAAAAAAATGGATTTGCACGTTGATTACGAATCAATTAATTAGAAATTAGAAAGATTTTGTTAATCGTTGAAAAAATATTACATTTGTTGGAAAAAAAGTCATTTGAAAATATTATATTATAGTCAATTATTCTTGAAACGTAATAACGTGCTTTAAATTGTGCGAAATATATACATCATATTCTTTAATGCAAAAACGAAATAAAAATATAACGAACTTCGATCGTGTTTACTTTAACAAAACATGATGATATAATTTTAATGACTTTCCGCGTTTGATTTATCGAATTTCTATATAATTTCATTCGTCTCCAGTTTCTGTTAGCTTGTCCAGGCAATCGTACGATTTCGATTGAATAATATATCTGTAACATAAATATTTTCTAGTTTGTACATCGAAACATAAAATACAAATTCGTAGGAAAAATTGATGATTTCAAATCTGTTAGTTTTAAATCTATACTTTTAACTATTGAACAAATATTTTATAAAAACATTAGTCCAAAAGATGCAGTTAACGATAAATTATATCAATATTCAATCCATTTCAAACTATCTTATTAAATTAAATGCATCATTGTTAAAAGCATCAAATTTTTTCACTCAACAAACTTGCCCAAAGAAAAAAGATTTCAAAGAAGAAAGCAAAAGAATTTTAAGCAGAAAGCAATAGCAGTTAGACGATTAAAAAAGCAAAGCACCAGAACTAACCCAAAGTTATAGACCATCAATATTCTTTATCGTCTGTGACCCAACCGTTTATGCGTCGGGTCTCTACGACCCACATGAAGAACCATCTTCCCAGCCTTGGCAGCTTTGAAAGTTTGCAACGCCTTCGCGTGCGTCAATCCATCCATTGATATCCCATTGATTGCTAAAATCTCATCTCCCACTTTTAAAGTTCCTTCTTCAGCCGCTTGTCCTCCAGCCATTATATCCTTCACGAAAATACCCATGGATCCTTTATTGCTATCCGATCCACCAACAATGGAAAAGCCCAACTTTTTCGAGGCACCCTTTTCCAAGGTGATAGTCAACAAATCCATCGACAAACTGGTAGCTCTACGTGGACAGGAAACTGTATTGGTGGCTCGTTTCCTCACCACTTGAAACTTCCTCATACCAGTCATCTTTTGACCAGATTCCTTCTTCAAGATACGATCATTCTCGCATTCCATCTTCTCCATCGAATTCGTGGATAAATTCTTGCTATCCTTTATCAATGCATCGACTACCTTACACTGGGAAGAATCTTTTTCTCGAGCGACATTATTCACGGGGACTTCCGGTTTCTCTTGTTTCAACGCCCACACCTCGGAGTCGCTACGAGTGCGGATCAGAATATCGCCCCACGTGTCGCCTATCTCTTCACCAAAAGTGAACGTTGGTTCCCTAGCTATCTGAAGCTCTACGGTCCCTGAACAATTTTTCAAAGCATTCCTAGCCTCGATGAGCGACATCCCACGCAGTCTACGTCCGCAAACACGAACGATCTCGTCACCGATCCTGAATTGCTTCGACTTTGCCGCCTCTCCATTTACGTCCATCTTCGAAATCACGTAGAAAGGTCTAACAGCCTCTTTTCTTTCCACGAAAATGCCAAGGCTGCCAGGCTTCTCCACGGACAACTTCATGGTCTTCAACTCGCGACGTACCAATGTCTTAGCTGGAGTTGAAATCGGCGTTAGATGATCGATTTTAATCTCTGGCTCTGATTTCTTCATTTTATTCCTCGCATTTACAATCTCGGGACCTTCAGGTTCCAAATTCGAACGCGATCTCTTTGGACTATAGTACTCCAACGGGCTGTTTACGATCGTCGAATATATTTTTGACGCCGGTGGACTATCTTTGCAGGGGGATGAAGCATTCTCTAGTAAACACAAGGTGCTAGAATTGCTGTACCTTTTACATTTGACCGGTATCTGAGACTTGGTCTCCTTTTGTAAATTTTGCAATTTCACCGCTTGTAATAGTGATGTTGTATGCTCCGATTTTGCGAATCTTTTATCCGATATCCTGATGAGCTCTTTGCTTCCAGAAGATGTTCTTTGATCTAAATTTCCAGTCGACGACGCTGAGAATCCTCTTGATATTCCGCTGTCGCATTTTTCCAAAGTGTTCACGGTGGATTTTGTTTTCTCAACGGCACAATTCATTTGATACTCCGCGAATCCCTCGAACGTATCCTCGTCGCAGCTATCTGTGTCTTCTTCATCCGATGGTACCGTGGTTGTGTTTGTTATTATCGTCCCGTTTAGCATAGTATTATTTACGACAGTGACTTCGAGACAAGACGGACCTGACTCGTTCTTCTCCGTTTCTGTTGTCACATCTTTCTTTATGGGGGTAGTGACTGGTAGTGATAAGTCGATGCCGTGATAGTCGTCCGATGTTATGGAAAAGCTACGGGGTTTTAACATCGGTGGACACTTCTCGCTATCTGGAGAATCAGCTCCAGCTCGTGTGCTGTCAGAGTCGTAGCCACTTTCATCGCAAGCTAACCGTAGGTTGCTCATTAGATCATCCAGGCCAAATGTTGGGAAAGATCTCTGATTATCAGGTCTGAAAATGAAAGAGAATTTTAAAAGAATGGTTCTAGTGAATTCTATTATCTATATTCCATTATTTTTATGATAAAAACATTATACTTCTGTTTTAACAGTAAATGAATGTTTTTTCAAAAATAGATCTTGATTTTTCCATTTACTTTTAATCAACCCTTAAATATTAAATATTTCATTATTTAAAAGCATATTAGTAACATATAAATAAAATATGAATCTAAATGCATACATGTAAGTATATCTTTAATTTTAAAATCAACCAAGGAATATATAATAATAATAATAATAATAAAATCAACCATGAAATCATGAAACAACTATCTCACCTGTCGCATTCGTTGCTACTCGCACGAACATTGAACAAATTTTTCTTAATATTATTAAGTTGATTACTGAAAAAGTCTTTAGTCTGAGTGGAAACGCTGCTTTTGCCAGCCTCAGATGTAGATTGATTACTTCGTTTAGGACTCGTATTTCTTCGCTTAGGACTCGTACTTCTGATTTTGTCTAACGTTTCCTTCGCGAAAGCTGTTCCTTCCTGCGTTTTAAGCATATCCTGATTCTTCAAGATATAATCTAAAACACGTTGCTGCTCCTGAAGGTCCTGGATGCTACGACTCAGCTGTTTCTTCTTCTCCAGAAGAATCGTTCCACGGTCCACTCGATTGTCATCCGAGCTGCCACCACAAAAGGATACATTCTTTATGGCGCCCTCGCTCAGAGCTTTCTCCATTGGATAATGACTGATACAGGTGACGTCCTCCTCTTGTATCGTCACGTTTCTTGCTGATATATCGCTGCTTCGCTCGCTGCTCCTGAACAAATTTCGTAACGATTCCACCCTGGAAATTCTCTTTGGCTTTGGTAATTCCGAGAAACCGCCGGTACCCTGAAATTAATAACAGATTTCTAAGGTTAAAATTGAAGAAAGATGTAAATAAATAATATATAGAATATAATTCTTAATAACAATACTTTTTTTTTTAACTTATATACTGTTTTGTTTTGTAATATTGGCCCTTGTATGTATACAATATAATCAAGGGGTTAATAGTATCTACAACGTATCTTAATATATTACAAACAGATGTCAGAATTAAAAATACTTAATATTATGAAAATAATATTTCTATTTGAATACAAACCAATATAAATTTTATCAAAAATACCTGTTTAGTAATGTTTTTAGTAATTGCAGAATTCAAAGAAAATCTGATCAATTTATTTTGATTCTCCCTATATATATATATATATATATATATATTGCAATAATACAATAAAATATTAGGATTTCTGTAATAAAAATGTAATAAAATTTAAATATCAGGAAATTTCCTTCAAATTATTCTTCATAAGAAAAAAATAAGAATAATTCGGCAAAAAAGGATTAATTGGTTAAGTGCTAATTATTTATTAGGTCAGGAAAGATGCATCGAGAGAATAAATGAGAAAGTAGCATACTTACGTTTTCTTTTTCGTCTGTTGTGCCAGCTTTCCGATTCGGACTCCACCTTCTCCTTCGGCCCGAAACCGAAAGCAATTCGGAGCTGTCTGATCTTTTCAGCTGATCCCATCTTCGACCTACTTTCCTGCCCCATGTCGAAATTCCTGTGACGTGAAACCAGACTCGATAATGTTAATTTTCACTCTACAATCATATCGATCAATTTGAATCGTACGAGGAAAAATGACGAAAGTAACAAAATCTGTAATTTCTAAAAATTAAATTTTAATAATATATCGAATATATAATTGATATAAAAATATATTTATACCATTTCTGTTAAACTAAATTTTCCACAATACTAGTAATACTATAACATCTTTAATAGAAACTCTATATCATCCATCTTAAATTTTTTTTAGCGTTCCAGATTTTTCAGATTTAAGATTATTTATTGAAACACGATAAGGAAATATTACCATTTTTCCTAAATTTGTGAGTTAATTTGTAATTTGTTACCTTTGCGATTTGAAATAGTGGATGAGGACGGTTTCAGTGTTTCATTCGCATTTTCTTTCACCGATGTCCGATTTAATCCATCGTTTTCATTATGAGGCTTCTTACTGTTACGTTCGAGATTTTCTTCTACCACTGTCAGAGGCGATGTTCCATCATGAGATAACGGTGTGGCCGAAACTAATTGAGGGCTTGTATCAGACGACTGACGCTTGAACAGACGCATCGCGATAGCCTGGAAAAAAGAAGTGGTGATACTGAGATTGACACATTGAAATAAATAGATATCACCCAATGAAACTCATTGTTCAGTTTTCTTTCACGTTTCTTTTAATTCATGAATCGTATCATATCTTTCTCAATGATTATTGTATTGGATATTTAACATAGCGAAAATATATACATTGCAATATTGGAATTAACAAATATTTCTTGACAACTCGAAAGAAATGATATTTTTTTTTTTTTACTATAAAACTGAATTAAGAAAAATACAAAATTTAAAACTAATGCATACTTTCAACGCATAAAAAAATAATTTTCTTCGCTGTTCGTTAAAGATGATGGTTGAGCAAATATAATGCACTGTGGAAACATCGATATCTAATATTTATTAGAGTTAAATGTAACAATAGATAAGATTCGTGAATGATGTCTTATTGTCAATCTTTTCGAAGAAAACATCAACTAGAAACACGATTAATCTAAAACAAGCAGTAAACATTTTTAAAAAATTAAAAATATTCAAACTTGTTATTCCAACAAATATTCACATTTCAAGTAACTATTAGCTTGTTGTACATAAAATACCCGACTTAACAAATTTATTCTAGCGAGTACTTTATACTTTTTTTTTTGCGAAATATATAAATATAATAATATTTATTACGAGTTAATATCGCGCATTACATTACAACTTAAAATTGGCTGAATATATGATCGATATTATATCTTATCAATTGTTTTATTACATTATTAAAATGAGTTTTTACAATTCGAATCTCGAATATTTTTCTCATATATATAATTTATTCGACATTCATATATTCATGATATATACTATTGTAGAATAATAACAATAATAATAATAATTTCAATAAAGCTACGAACTCGAGAATTTTTCGAGAGAGTTTAATATTAAAAGTAAGAAAAAAAAAAATCGAATTCCTTCGACGATGAATAAAAATAAAAGAAGAAACAGAAGAGATAAATCAAAGAAAGCTAACGTTGAAATCGAACTTAAAAGAAGAGGCGTAAAGTTCAGCAAAATCATCTCACGATCACTTTCCCAGCATTCCAAAGATGTTTAGCAACGTTTTCCAACCAGACAACTATCAGTCTACGAACGAAAGAGGAGAAGTCTCTTTTACTCGCGCCAGTTTTATCACTACCACGGTTACGGCTTTACGGTTGAACGTGCGTTACCCGTTCCCAGTTTCGAATTACATCCATCTTATATCGAAAAGGAACGACCGCTTTGACCACGGCCTTCCTCTCAGATTCTACCAACCGTCCATGCACTATTTCCTCGCGTATCTTTCGTCGCGGTGAACGATTGCTAACAATATGTATCCTTCACTCTCATCCATCCAGTTCATGATACAATGAACAATTATATCTAAATCCTCACTTTTTTAATTGTATTCTCTTCTTGTCTTGAAAGAGCGAATATTATTAATAATCTTCCGTCGTAAATTAGTTTATTCTTAGAGAAATGAATCTCTTCATTTTCATTAATTCTAATTTAAATTTCTTATCTAAATCTAATTATCATTTTGATAAATTTATAAAGAATGGAAATTTAAAGAAATATAAATCGATTCTTCTTCGCATGTTTTTTAATATTAAAATCACATAACAGAAATTTCTTTGGCGGAGAATCTAAGATAATTTGATTAATTTTATCGAATCGCTTTGAAATGTTGGATTAAATAATAAATTTTTGATGAAAAACAAGCATGGTATCATGGTATACAAATATTGAATAGAATCACACGCGTTTAAATACAAGTAAAAAATCACTATTGAATATCGGGCATATTACCACGTATCATTACGGGGAAGATACACTCTATCGTGGTTATTAATCATAACTGTCGTGAATTAATACGAGTAATAAAAACCACGACATTAATGTATATTAGTAACGTTAAGATTACAAACTGTATATACTTTCTCATCGTTTATAAGACTGCTCATGGTATTAAATTCGCACCGATTCATGTACTAAATGATACAGTGAACGTAAAAAAGAACGTTGTTATTTATATCATCGTTCAAACCAACGCGATTTACGAATTTATGAACCATTAAAAGGAACGATGAATTTCTATCGCAATCTATTTTGCACGTTGCCTAAAAATATTCTTCATATATTATTGCGTCGTTAGTTTCGTGATTTAATCCTTAATCGCGGCAATATATTATATAAACTCACATTGATTCAATTTTTAATCGAAAAATTACATCGAATCGAAGAAATTTTGTAAAATTAGAAATTACGAATCTTAAGAATTAGATGAAATATAATACAATTCTTCCTAACTAATACATTGAATAACATTTTAATACGAAATAATATGCGGTAATCGCTTCAGGAATTATCCTCATTTTTATCATGCTCTAAACTCTAATTATTTTAAGTATTAGGTACTTTAACCCTGAAGTATTCTAAACACAATGTTGCGTGCTCTAAATCACTCCTAATTGCTGTAATATTGTAAATTAAGCACGCTTAAAAAAGAAAAGAAAGATAATTCATACTGGATACAAATTCTGAAACTTCTAACAAAAACTATCATGTAACGGTTACGTGATTACGAATCGTGATTACATCATATTAAAAATTCCCAATGAAAAGTTTCCATCATTTCCTTCATCAATTTCACTCTCCTATTACTTTCGATAAATGTCATCCGTTATATATAGAACAGCGTTTCTCAATCCTAAATCATAATATTCAATTCCAAGATTTCAAAGAGAGTTGCTCAAACTATTCGGAACACGTTCGAAACTACACAATATGCGCAATATTGTTTATCTGCATAATACACACAATTGATTTCAATTTGACTATTTAAATTTTGAAAAAAATTTTACATCATTTGTATATCGTGATACGAACGGTTGAGAAACGCTGACGTAGTCAGTGCCGATGGAACGTTCTGGGATTGGAGAAGAAGGAACAGGGTGTGGAGACAGGGAAAAAAGTGCATGTAGTGTGCCCACGTGTGTCCGGAGCCGGCCGTATAAGTGCATATCGCATACGCCACATGTCATGGCACGCGTTTTTCCGAGACGAAACGTGTACAGGAGCTCGCGTGAAAACGACCGAGAGAAAACGTATACTCTTCTCGTACAGATTCGAATTTTCATTAATATTCGTTAAAAAATCATTAACCTCATTAGATTATATTAGATTGAATTGAAGTTATGTATTGCCTCGATAATTATCGCATTAAATGAATCTGAACTTGTGGACAATTAACAAAACAGATATTTTTTTTTAAGAATTTCATTCATTTTTTGAGTTCATGAGAACAAGTAAGATTGAATGGAAAGAAAAATTTAACATTCTTTCCTTGAAATTGTGTAGCAAGTTAATAGATATAATTCATTAGGACATGTTTAGTATCAAAACTTTGAAAATTTGAATAGATAATTCTATATTTATTATATTTTAATAATTCCTCGGCCATTACGCTTTGAACGAATTTCGTAAGTTTCAAACTAATTAAAAATTAAAAATTAACGACTTTCTCTCGGCGAGTTTGAGACCAAGACTGAGATTATGATACCTTTTAACCAATGGATAATTAGTGGATATTAATAAAATTTCTCTTGTGACTTTCGCTGAGTGACATTTAAGTTATAGCTTCTTTTTAAAACGTATCATTATTTTAACATTGTGAAACGATGTTTCAGATTCCAAAGATAATTTTTTGCGCGCGAGCTATAAATCTTCTTGCGCTTCCTCACAGTCGAATTAAGGTGTTTAATAGTCTTTTTTTTTTCAGACGAGCATCGGTTATGATATAAAACGTACGTAAACGGGACCTCTGATTGCGGTAAATTCGCCGATCCATTTGATACGGATGTTTGAACGTAAATCTTGATTCGTGCAAAAACTTTTAGTGTAGTTTGTAGTTATGGATAATCAAGGAAAGAGAACAGTGAACTCGAAATGGATATATTTAACACAGGTGATTTTTGAAATATGAAACTAATCTATAAATAATGAGATTTAAAACCGACAAAAATTTGTCTTAAATATAACAGATATATATAAAAAATATTTTATATTTTACAACATAGTATATAAAAATATACATCTGATAAAAATCATGTTCTCTTTAAACAAACATTGAAATTAAAAATCTCTCCTAAATAACACAACCATAAAAGAGACATAAATACCTATTATAAGAACTTTATATCTCATCTTTTATTAAAAATAAACGAATATAGTTGCAAAACATATAAACGAGAAAAAAAACATTCCTCTCACTTTAATCTCTCACTAAGCTCTTCAAACAAAATCACATTCAACTGCGATCAAAACTTCATCTTATTAAACAAATCAAAGAAATACCTTTGTCCTAATCCGTGTCTTCGTCCAAATCTCACAGGCAATGCCAAATCTTCTTCCAAATCCCTCCATCCGCCTTAATACTCTTCCCTCATCATTCCCTCCACGATCGAGAACGAGAATATCGAGCCATCCCCTGAACATCCTTTCGCCCGAATCGCACACCTTGGTGTATCGAACTCACGATCATTCCCATAAAACCGAGGGTTCGATCGTCACGATTCCATGGAAACACGTAACGTAACCGGGCACAGGCACCGATTAAACGGTATCGAGTTACAAAGGAAGAAAATCACCACCCACGCGTCTCCTTTGAGAAAAACCAGCGAGCTAGAACGAAGCCCCGACCACGATGCACCGACTGACTGGCTTCTCTTCCTTTTCATTCATACGACCGTGCATTATACCGAAAACTTTATTCCACACGCCTTTCCCCTTCCATTACACTAGTCAGGCCTCGAACGCCTCCTTCAGAAATAGATTCATCAGGATGTCGCCCCGGATACCGGAAACGCTCGCTTCCCGTGTCGTGCCAGCTTCCCGTCGAGCTTTCATCTCTTCACCGCCTTTTTTCCTTCCTGTTCTCCTTCTTTTTTTTTCCCCCGTTACGTTATTGTTCCCTTTTTGGGCCGTGTGATTCGAATGATACTCGAAATGAAACTTGATAAATTTTAAAGAATTCGAGATATGATTCGTCTCAGATCGGGGATAATTATTTTACGTTCAAGAGTTACAGGTTCTCATAGAATACTCTTTTCTGAAATGCTGATAGAGATAACTTATACATATATCCCAATATCTCCCTTGAATTTCACTATGCACTTTTCCAAATTGTCATCGTGTTGAAATGAAACACGAATAAAAATAATGATAATTATTTCTTTTTTTCTTTGGCCGTATTACTTCATTCTAAATGAATTATAAATTGAAAAAATTTTGATAACCAAGAGTATACTCGACTAGCATTTCAAAAAACCATTCCTAACAAAACCTCGAGGTCGACCCATAACGGAATTTGGCAATCAAGTACCTTATATATATACATATTTTTTTTTTCCGCATTAAATTCGAAATTCTGTACTCATATTGTCAGAACTCGAATAAATACCGTGCATATCTGTTATTTGTCCAACGGTGAGCAAAGTTTGCGGTTCGAGTTTGCAGGTTGGGTTTACGGGCCGAGAGACGGCCACCAACTGGCTGGCTGCTCACCTATTTCAAGGTAACGGTGCGAGATCATAGGTGATGCCGAGATGCATTACAGTTACAGCTGGCCGCATGCCGGACTTTATTCCGCCCGACGTGCTTTCGACGTGCCTTCGATGCAACCGTGTTATACGCGGGTCTATCTATCGCCGAACATAAAAATCCGGCCCGGGGTGGATGGATGGAACGTGCGCGCGGTTATACACCGTAAAATATGAAATACGACGCGTGGCCATCACAGCTGCGCGCCGAGAACGATCCCCGAGCAAAAGTATTGAGATAGTTATTAACCGGCATGACGTTGAACCGATCTAAATTAATGGGTTGGCTTTTGCGGTCTCTCGTTATTCGGGGTGCTGGCCGATTGCGCTCTCGCGTCTTCGAATGGAGTCGAGAGTAGTTACGAGATAATTTAAATACATTGTCTGTTGTTGACAATTGACATTGATACTTGGGGAATCTTATCGATCTTGTTTGCGACTTATGAATGTAGACGTGTACGGAAGCGTGTAAATATTGTCATATTTATAGTTGGGTTCTTTAAATGCATTGGAATCATTATGTATAAAGACACGTCGGTCGTTAAATTATTTTTTTTTACGTGAGTATGTTGCTTGCTTTGTTAGATTAAAAAAAAAAAAAAAAGAAAAGTAAAATAAATGTTGTGATTGCAATTGGTGATATAATGATACGTGTAAATCGTTTAAAAATAAGATATTTGCATATTGATTTAAATAAGTAATGTTTTCCTACCGGATAATCAACTATTAGCATACGAGAATTTATAGAAGTTAGAAAATCTTCAAATAAGATAATTTTAATTTATCACGTCGCGTGATAAATCAACGTTGAATAATCTAATTTTTTTACACTTGAAACTTATCGTTCAAGAGTTACAGTGTTTTTTAATTCCTGTAATTACAATTCATAAAAGTCGTTGATATCAAGATTATATCAAGTTAATTCTTTTGTTATTTTTAGAATTTTTTTTTTAACTTATACGAAGAAATGAAGAGTTACGGTTTCTTATGAATCAAAATTGAAACTGCAGTAAAAATAATCAAAAAAAAATATTCTTAAAATATCTGGTTATTACGACATTTTTAACGACATTTTTAACGACATTCGATTTAATTAAATAATATCACTTTCCAATTATTTTAGCCACCGTATATACATATATACACGAAGGAATAAAATTTTCTTCCACCGTCCATAAATTCGCTTTCGTCGAGGGGAGTCGTTCGTGAATGGTTCGATCGGCGGACAGGCGTGAAAGCTCATCGAAAGGGTGTGTTAGTGGTAATATTTTTACGCGTAACATCCGCTCGGATACGTGGTTAACCTTGCATCGTTCGGCTACAAATGGAGGTGCAAGAGGTTAAGAACGACGCGCGTTTGCACGTTCCAGGTGGAGCTTGGCTATTAAAATTAGCGAGAGTAAGCTAACAGTAAAATGTGGGGATTCTGACGTGAATCATTGTTTCTTGTTAATAAAGATTAAAAAATAGTGCTAATTTTTATACAAAATATATAGATATATTCACTCACAAGCTTTCGATAAATTCTTTATTAGTATTGAAAACATTTCTTGAAAGAAAGTTGAATGAAAAATTAAAAGGATTTATGTAAATTATTATTAGTTGCCGAACATGCAACTAAAAATAGCTCCGTTATCTGATTGACTTTCACAAGCTATAAAAATGTGAATGATAACTGTGATTAATAAACATGCATAATTTGTTTCGAAATACCATCGAATTTTCAGTATCTAATTTTTTTTTAATATAATATTATCTTAAATTTCAAATTTAAAATTTTTCTATTAAATATTATCCATAATTAAAAAGAATAAATATTATGGCATCATCCTCTTTTTACAAAATTTCATTGCAAACAGTCATTTATGCAACGCTTTATGAAAACACATAAACAATCGACTGATCTTCTCTTCCATATTTGTTTCAAAAGTCGTACACTTTTACAGGTACGATGACGAGTCCAGAAAATGCATCTTTCCTTTTGCGAATTCAAAGAACCGGTTCCATTTTATTGCATATTACCATCGCATATTAAAATACGGTTACTGCATCCATGTAACCCGAAGAATCGCTATAACCGATGATTCGATGATTCGTCATCGTCCACGAGACAAAGTTTGAAAGAAAATCGGTGACATGATATTTCGGTCTTCTTTTCCTTCTCTTTCTTTTTTTATATCTTTTATCCGCTTCTTCTTTTTTTATCGTTTCTTTCAACCGTAGAAAGTAAAACCATAGGATATCTCGAGTGTCCTCGAGAACATTCGTCGTCTGACACAGATTCGCAAGTTTCGGCTTGACCGTCTTCACGTATCTCTTTTCGAAAGGATTTCCATGGCCCACGGCCAACGATTCGACTCGCGTAGAAAGCGGATTTGCCGATCGTGAGATTCTGACAGGTCTCTTTCTTGTTAAAAGATTATGTCCCCCTCTTTGAATTTAGTCACGACACGTGAAAATGTTGTTCTTCTGGACGGGTGGAATCGTCGTGAGGATGTAACGCTTGATAAATATGGATTATCGTATAAGAAGTGGATTTTACGTTCGAAGAACGTATCAATAGAATTGTAAAATGAATCGTTGCGGATCGATTTGTTAACGAATACGAAATTCAATTCTATCCCTAAAAAAAAAAAAATTTTAATGGATAACTTATTTTCAAATTTTTATTTTTCGACGTGCTCAACAAAACCTATATTTATTATGTAACGATAAGTATCTAATATAGAATAATACGAAATTATGATAAAATATTCCATTAATGTAACTATTGAAAAGATTGAAAAAAGTATCAGACATTACAAATTATAGAGACATATCACGTAATCTTTCCGTAATAAAAGTTAGAAAACTTCAAAAACACGATATAAGAGGTAATAAAGTACGTATAAATTTAACAATTCGAAGAACCCATTCGTAGTTAGTAGCTTTCCGTTCGTAGTTAGAGAATAAAATGAGAAGACTGGAAAATGCCATCGGCAATAATGCGAATCGACATTTAACATTTCCATTTATTTTTCCTTTTTTCGAACCTTTTTTTTATATTTTTCTCAATCACTCCCATACAGAGAATTATCGCATTTACAGAAATTCCTTTTAAGAATATTCTGCAATATCCAACCTCAACTTCCCCCTATCTTCGATAACTTCCAACCGAGGACAGGAATACAAGACTTCAAAACGACTATACGACTCTGTGCAGCGGTAGTAATCGGCTAGAGAAGAGCATAACTATTACACATCTCTTATATCCCCCTTACATTACAAGCACAAGGCAAAGTTTCGCAGAAATCGAACACGTCTGGTGGACGTTCCTCTCGTTAGTAAGCCACAGTGGCAACAGAATGTTTGTGCAATCGTTCGTAGTAGTCGGCGATAATTACAATTTCTTACCTCTTAACCGATTCCTCCGCGAGGTATGAGACGTTGAATGAATGGTTGGAGAATGTATTCCAGGAACGTGGTTTTTCTTCCTTTCTTTTCTTTTTTTTTTTTCTTTTTTTTTTTTATGAAGAAGAACGTAAATGTGTAACAAACAAGCAAAAAGACAGACTTGAACCGGTGAGAATTTTCATCAACAGACTTACATTCCACCTTAAATGAACCAAATCTAATGCGATCATTCGCCTCGATGAGAATCGTGCCACGATCTAAAAGGCACAACTTGTCCCTGCTGTTTAACCGGATTATCGTCGTGATATTTATGCAGCATACGAGAAAGAATGTTGTATTTCTGCGAGACGATGCTAGGTATTAATTGAGAAGGTAAACTAGATCGAAAATGAAAGAGGCTGGTAATGGAATTAGAGCAAGGTATAAAAGTTTTTCAATTTTTTCTTAAGTAATAAATAATAAATAATTGAATAAATAAATAAATAATTTTGTTTTAAGAGTCCACTTATTGTTGCAAAGAAACTTTGATAAAGGAACAATTGCTATTAGAGACTAATACGAATTCTTTCTTCTTCACAACATTTTTCTTTTATCAAAAGGAATTAAAAAAATTCTATCTATAGATATTATTATTAATAATAATGATAAATGGTATTAAAGTAAATCACAAATGATTACCATTGGCAACCAAGAATAGTTTAATAAAACAAAGATATTTTGCAATAATACGGAAAATTTATGAAATTTTTAGAATCGATGAAATAGATAATTATTATATTAAATTCTATGTAAAAACTTTGTAAAATTGTTTATTAAAAAATTAATATTAGATTTCTTAAAATCTTTCCTTGTACACCTCTTCAGGATATGCTTCAGGATAAACGCTGGTAGATTTATGCAAACTCACGGACCAGGATATGGTTGTTCGTCTCGTCCCGAGAACTTCAAGAACGAACAATGTTCGTTCGAACGTGGGAGAATCGCGGAAATTGTAGATGAGACGTGCTTAGCCTGCGAGAATTAACGCGGCCGGTGTGAACTTGTACCTATGTATGTAAAATATTACACAGAAAGCGATCCACGCGGTATCATTGGAGTCATTGTTATCGCGTGTCTCTGATCTCTATGAAACCGGAAGTGATCGAACACGAATTAGATGCGTCTAGAATTAATCGATGATTGAATTTCTCGAATAATTTATCGACTGA